TGCTGTGCTTTGTCGCCACGCGGGAGCGTGTGCCTTGATGGCTTTGCCTCTGCTTTCTAAAAGGTTGGCATTGCACTCCCAGTTCCGCTGCGCAAAAGAGATTATCTTTGTGAGCTTGCTTTGAACTTTCATGCATGAATCAGTTGAGACATGTTCAGCCCTAGCATCAAAGAATGACAGTGCATGATATGATCCGTCCTTGAGGTCAACTATCCTCTCCATCTCAAGGCACGTTCCGGTTCGATGCTTCGCACGTACCGGGGGACCGGATACCTTCGTAGGTCCTTAATTAGTGCACTGTACATAACTTCACTCCTCCCATTTTCGTTCAGCGGGGGTGTTGTTTCACGCTAGGATGTCTAATACATGTCTCACTTACCTACCTTTTGGCTCAAGGAAAACCAGGTGCGACTTGTTGGTAGTTCTCGGTCGTTTACCTGTAACTACAGCAATAAAGCTGTACTGTTCTTTTGGGGCGAGTGAAGATAGTGAAGCTCCTGACAGACAGGAAGACGTTGCTTTTTCGCACCTTTTCCCCATGGAGCACTGGCGTAGCACTGGCGTTTATCATTCACGTGGTACTAATGCAGTTGCAAAGTTATATTTGAATTTGGTGGATGCTTTCTTTTCAACATTTCATTCTTTTGACAGCATTTCCGCCTGTTTTTGCGTTTCGCCGCTGGGATTTCAGAGCACGCAGTGTGACCTACTAATTCAGGTTGAGTTGAGGTGGCATCAAGTCATGAAGAAACGGTGTCATGCTTTGGTGACAGGACTGTGTTGCTTTCGTTGATGACACGTCTTTCATCTTCCAACCTTCGGACGTTGCTGCCGATCTTAGGAGGCCACTGAAATCCAATCCCGCTTCCAAGTCCTTCGGTTGCCTGCAATGTCGCAATTCTTTCAACAGGTCGAGGAGAACAACTCCATCGAATTCTGTGAGGTGCCCCTGAGCGAGATCAAATTCGCCGATGTGACTCGACCCAAGTTGACTCACCGAAAAGACAGACCCAGACAGGGCCACCGGGCCACAGGTGGAATTGCCACGGTGTTCAGGTGCAGGAGGAAGGAGCAAGGTGGGCATTTGGCTTGTTGTTTACTACAACTTGGCTACAACTGTCTAGTTTGCAAGTATAGTTGTGTTCTCCACGTGTTAAGCTGATAAGCAAGGAGTAGCCCAGGCATGGAGCTTTGCGCTTTCACGACGGCCCGCAAGGTGCAAGGGGTCCTTCTTGTGGCCCATTCCGCAAAAGGGGAAGGCTCTTTTTTATGAAGCAGTGAGCCATCCGAAGTATCACCCAGAATCCATCCGAATTCATCAAGAGCCTGCGCAGTTCCTCCACCTTTCGGAAGGATCATACCACACATAGAACAATTCATTTGGGCCATGGCCAGACTTCCCGTCCACCAGCTTCACCCGAGGTGATGCGAGGTCACGAGCACCTTGGATGTGGACCAAGAGACCGTGAAATAGAGAGTGCTTCAGCGTGTCCCTGTGGGACGGCTGCGTTGTAGCCAGACGCTGCTGAGAGAGAGAGAGAGAGAAAAAATATATATATAAACACCCTCACTTCTTTCCACAAAAAATATCTTGACAGGACACACCTTGAGTGGCTGGATTTATATGATGAGCATAGCTGTGCAGGGGCATTCAGAGATTGCATAAACAAGCAATAAAAGGGAAGCCGGAAGGCTCTTGACCGGCACAATCAACCTTGTGTGCTCCCTGTTGGACTAGAGACGCTCGGGTGGATTCTTGTCTTGACGATTCTGCTGGGCTCCCAGGCATGTGATGGAAGTGGAGGAGCACTTCGAGGACCAGCAGCTTGAACAAAAACAGACATTGTTTTATGTTTTTTCCAAATGGGGAATGCCTTAGTGGTTCACCTTGATATTCGTGTCCCTGTCCAAGTACTCTGGTTTTTAAGTTCCCGATTTAGCAGGAGAAGGGGAATTCCTCATGTTTTAGATTGTTTATATAACCGCTCTTGACCATGTTGCAGCCCATCGCCCCACAGCAATCAAAGTGAAAGTAGACTCTGCTGCAGGCGGGGTCACCTGAGGTCTAAAGGCCACTTATATATATATATACATAGTCTCTTACAGCAGCCCCAGACTTGCCAAGGTATTGTCACTATTGCGTCTTTGAGCTTTGCAGAGGTGCGGTGCCCTTTGGGAGCTTCAGGTTGGTGTAGGATGTGTTGGGCAGGATAATTAGTGCCAGTTGCAGGTCAGACTCTGTTTTGCTTTTCAAGGTCTGCAGTCCCGTGCACTTGTTCACACGTTGCACTGCAATTCCACTGCGGAAATAGTTGGAGAGCTCAAGGGCTTGATGGATTCCACGTTAGGTTGGTACTCGTAGGACAGAGTGCAAGCCTGTTTCAAGTGAAACTTGTCCAGTCTTTGACTTTGCACATGCTGGCGATTGTACTGCTGGTTGTTCGATCTTTCCTCAACCCAGTTACAGATGTTACAGTTCACAAACACTCAGAAGCCCACCTTCTCCGTCCTTCCCTTCGTGGTCACTTTTCTATCATGATCGGTGACATGCACACTCCTGGGAGGTGGCGACTTGCTGGAGGCTTTGAAACAGCATCTTGGCAGCTTTGGGCAGCATCTGTGGGCGAAGCTGCTGGCGGGACTGTCTGTGAAGGGGCCTATTTTGCAAATCATCATGCCCCCTCATGGCCGGAGGATCTGCAGGTTAGTTAACGTGGAACCCCAAAACCACTGGGTTGTAGAGGAAAATGGTCTTCCACCGGTCAATTCTCAGGCTCCATGTTAGTTTGCGGGAGAGTATTTCATCCGTGTTCGCGTCCCTTTTCCTCGGACGAAGTTGGACCGACTGTGACCACTCAGGAAGCCCCAGGGCTTTGACGAGCGCCAGGCGCAGTTCCTCATCCGCCAGGCCAGGTGAACCTTACTTTTCAGAGCACGGCTCAAAGAGCAACCAAAGTGAGACAGGCTCGCAGAAAAGCCGATCATATTATCGTAGTATAATACAATTATATATATTACTTGCACACAAACAGCGACCAAATGCTCCTCGGCCGGTTGTATTCAGCATGGTCATGCCGACACAATAAGAAACAAGGGCAAGCATCCCTGCTGAGGAACGTCTTGCTCAAGTTATGTAAACACATTAACTTTTTGATTATTTAAATCCCGGACATTCGGACATGGATTTGTTTGCACCACTTAGCCAGCAATCTACAAATGCAAGATCTCCACGCGTGTTGCATATCCTTGTTCTACGCTTCGCTCAAGCTTGCACACTCGGTGGTTTCCCGGAAACCTGCGGTTGACGTCGCATCAGGCGGCATTGGGGCTCACCTATCTCCATGAAAGAGGCAGGGAGCTGAGATCAGACGTGGAGAGAAGCAGATCACTCGGGACAAATCAGAGCAGACAAAGGATGCTTGGCCTCCCCCGATGCATCACAAGAACTGCTGCGATGCGATGAGAGTCTGTCTGAGTATATAGGCCAGACAAGCCCAAGCCCATTTTGCATGATTCCATTGAGGCGCCCTGCATTGGTTTTGTTGTTGGGAATCGAAGACCGCACCCATCACTCCGCCGTCCCGAAGACAGTGAAGATAGGCTCCCCTGCAACCATCTGTGCAGGTGTGGCCATGCAGGACGTTTCACTGGAGAATATGCTTCTCCACGTGAACCCTAGCTGATGTCCCAGCAAGCTTTCGAAGACTGAGCAAGATTCAGTCATTATTGCCAAGGGCTGCATGAAGGCCATGGCTTGCATGCCGCGACAGATGGAGCATCCAGTTCATCACATGAGTCTGAAAAGATATGCAGAAGGGTAGAAGGGCAGTTTGCATGGCACTGAGGCAATGGACACTACCAGGCCTGCTTGTGGCATGAGGTGGTAGTTGGGCTTACTAGTGGAATCTTGAGAAATCTATTGAAGTCAGGCGCTGGCAGAAATGCATCAGACAATCCGGCCGCCAGTCTAATGGTTAGATGCGACTTGCTAATACTTGCCATTGGTCCATCGGGAGATCATATCCATACCTAAAATTGCCTGAGGAGGTGTTCGACATTGTCTTTGAATATATAATTCCCGACTCCAGCAGCGGAACCGGGGGCTTCAGAGGATTTGGGATGGGTAGGCGTATTAGTGTTGCCTCAGTAGGGTTGGCTTGAGCTTGCCCAGGTCCCGAAAGGGGGCTTGTGCACTTGAAATTTACCTCGCTTGTGCACTTGCAAATTTACCTCGCTTGTGCATTTTTTCTACTAGTACTACTACTACTACTACTTCTACTACTCCTTACTACTGCTACTACTACTACTACCACTACTACCACTACCACTACCACTACCACTATACTACCACAACTACCACAACTACCACTACTACAAGTACTACTCCTACTACTACTGCTACTACTGCTACTACTACATCATACTACTGCGACGAAGACCACGACGACGACGACCGCGAAGACGCAGACGAATAGTACTACCACGACGACTACTACTACTACTACCTTTACCACTACCATTACTACTGACTACTACTACTACTACTACTAC